ACGTCCTAGGCCCCTGGGTGAGGCCCGACTAGTAACCAATGCCAAATCCGGCGAAACAACTGGCTGCTGTGATACAATTGTATAATAATAATAATTTCTTAGAATGTCTGCCTCACATGATACTGTTTTCATCCAACCTCTTTCCTTGTAGGTGCTACAGTACCAGCTCACAAAGCAGTCCTGGTGGCTCGCTGTGAAGTAATGGCTGCTATGTTTAATGGCAACTATATTGAATCAAATAGTTTTTTGGTTCCAGTTTATGGAATTTCCAAAGATACATTTCTATCTTTTTTAGAGTATCTATATACAGACTCCTGTTGTCCAGGTATGCAAATATTAAATTGTAGTGGCTTTAGTTTTGAATAGCATTAAATACTGTGATAGCTCAAAAAGGAATTCTTGGATTGAAAGTCTTGGCTTTTCAGAGAGCTGTGAATGTATTGATTTTTGCATTTGGATATAAATACATTTGAACACGTTACTTATTATTAAATGATGGTAAAACATCTCAGTAACAGCAGTCAACATTAACAAAAGTAGTCAAAAATGGGTGCTTTTTAAAGCTTGATTCTGTTTATTCTAAAATGAGATTCCAAAAATTTTGAATCGTTATTAATTGAAATAAAATTAATGGGTTTAAATGTGGTTCATTCACACAGACTCCTGTAGACATAAGGAGGCTAAGAGGAATTTATGTTGAATAAAATAATTTTTATGCAATCTGTTTTTATATCAGGAATTATACTTTGTGTTTATTAATTTGCAAGTGACTTTGATGTATGTTTTTGGTGTGAATAAGAGAAAGCAACATATTTAAACGTGCATTGCATTCATCCTTGGAGTAGCCACTTTGAAGAGATGGGATGAAGATCTATTTCACAGATACCAAATCTCAAGTGTTCTTACAATAGATTATATGTAATGGCAGAATGTTTTAAAAAATTAATTCTGAATCAGTAGTATAGGAATTACAGATTAATACGATGTTTAAACGAGTAGATAATTATTGCATCAGTTTTAATCTGGGTTTGCTATTTTAATCAGCCAGCATTCTGCAAGCCATGTCACTTTTAATATGTGCTGAGATGTACCAGGTTTCAAGGCTCCAGCACATCTGTGAGCTTTATATAATTACACAACTCCAGAGCATGCCTAGTAGAGAATTAACATCTACAAGCCTGAGTGTGGTCAGCTTGCTTCAGAAAGCAAAAGTAAGTACTTCCTGTTGATATATTGTTTATCTGTATCTTTTCAGTAGTTAACAAAGGCTGATTCATTTCAAAGGCTGAAAGTAAATATTGTTTTTATATCATGAAATACTTACCACTTGCGGATTGCTCAATATTAAACTGCAGTTAATGGATCAACTGTAAACTTTTCCGAGGGGAAAGGATAGCTGAAAATCCTTTCCTTTTTCATTATTAAAAAACTGATTTCTGGAAAAACATCAATACTAAAATTAATTTGAAGTTCTTTTCATAATCTATATTATTTCCCATGCAAATTACTGTCTTGTATGGTTTCTTCTATCACATTTACTGTATAAACTAATGCTAATGCCATCAGTTAGTGATATAAAATTCTCAATATTTTCAAGCAACAGAAAACACAATTTCTGGGTATTCTGAAAAAAAATTAAATGTTAAAGCAGATACATTTCATCAGATATAAGCAGATAGAGTGTTATCTTGTAACTTTATAGAATGCATTAGGCATATAGTGGTTTGGTCATAAAACCATGTTTGACATACTGTATAAAGTTGAAAAGTATAAACATTTAAATATAATTAAACATGTCTTAATTGAGTTTAATTGAAATAATTTAAATTTCTACGTAGTACAATAGAATTACATACTTCTGAATTCTAAGAAATATGGCATGCCTTCATTTCTATCTGCTTAGGAATAGCAGACAGAGAAAACACTGAAAATGGAAGAAACAAAAAAAATCGTAATAAAGTTATATAGTCTTTATTCTATCCCAACTGTAGGAAATATAGAAAGCTTTAAAAGCTTTAATTTAAAAGCTTTCTAATTTAATTTGATGAAAGGTAGAGAGAAACAAAAGCTTAAAATGCAAATGTGGCTATATGAAACACTGCCTAAATAGTCCCATTTTTTAAAAAAAACAAACACCAGAACTATCTATTCACATTGTATGCTTTCAAACTGCTGGGGCAAGAATGGGAGATCATCCCATTTGCGTCACATCGTACTTGGATATCAAACTGCCTATATTCCGGTCACAGCACAGTATCTTAACTGTTAGACCACAACTATCTTTCTACAAATCAAAGGTTTATTCTAGTTACTGTATTTAACCCAAACTCCTTGCTAAAGTACCAATGCTCTTTTATTTTTAATCATTTTTTCCAGTTTCATAATTCGGATTGTCTTTCAAATTGGCTGCTTCATTTTATTGCTTCTAATTACTTAATCTTCAGTCAAAAACCTGAGTTTGAAGATCTTTCAGGTAACTGACAACTTGCTTCCTAAATAACTTGATGCTATTTAAAGAGACAAATTATGTTGTGTTCCATATCAAATGGATGTATAAATTGATATTCTTTAGCAAGAGGGTAGGATTCTGTCTTGTCACCAAATTTAAATCAAGTGGAATCTGTCTTTCTGGATTTAGTTAACTGTAAAAAGGAGGCTTGCTCTGCAAATACTGCATGAAACAATTTCTTGGATACTTAAGATTTACAAATCTTTCCAAAACTGATTGCAGGGAAGACTCTAAAAAGCTTGTGAATTGGGAGAATGGTGGAGGGAATTAAAGAAACCGAGGCCTAAAACAATGGTCACCCATGCCCTAGTCATCTCATAATGGGACTATTGCAACACATTCTGCATGGAGTTCCCCTTGGTGATCATCTGGAAGCTACATTTGGTTCAAAAGGCAGTGGCATAAGTAATATTGGACACTATAGTAATCATTTATTAAATATGTATGCTGCCTGCCATGCCCAGGTGTCATAGTTGGTACATGACCTGCATTGGTTACCAGTCAGCTTCTGGGTGCAATTTAAGATGTTAGTTTACCTATAAAATCCTTCATGGTTCAGGACCTTGATTATTTGCAGTATCAACCTGTCACAATTGCTTTTATCCATCCCAATGCCATCAGATTTAGTGGGTGCACTCCAGGTCTCTTTAGTTAAATGTTGTCATCTTGTTAGACTGAGGAAGTATCAGTCATACTTTGATAAGGTAAACCACATAGATTTCTGACTTATAAAGAAAAATGTCTTAGACTTTCAGACTTATTAGGCTGAATAAGCAGCCTTCTAGTACTAAAAATATATACAATACTTTGCCTTTTATTCTTCAGTGGACGAACGCAATTTCATAGAGATGCACAGATGGCCTTCTAGTATGTACCTGAGACAGCTTGCAGAGTACAGGAACTACATTCATTCTCGGAAATGTCACTGTCTAATAATGTAAAATAAAAAAAATAATCTTTATTTATGAATGATTGAAAGCTGTGCTTCAGAAATCTTACAACTGAAATTTGATATTTAGCTGAAATGTTGCACCTGCTAATGAATAACTACGGTACTGTTTAAAAGCATGTGAAACATATTGTAACATATGCATTTACTAAGATGAATTTCAGCTGTATTGTTAAGTCTGATTCTATACTATTTTAAATTTTTTGGAGGAATATGTACTAATTTGGAATATTTGTTAGTGTATTATGTATCTAGGATTCCAGGAGCTTGAAGGAGAGATTCTGCATTCATTACTCACTTTTTTTAGCTATTTCCTTTGAAGATTTTAGTAAGTTATTTATGAGCTTTTAGAAATTGTATATTTTGTAAAAAACAGAGCTTGTAAAAAGATTCTATTTTGGAATTAAAACTGTACCTCATCCCAATCTGCATCAAATTTCTGGAAAAAAAATCTCTTCAGAAAATTATTTAAACTTTCCCTTCACTGGGGAATCTTGTATAGTAAAAAAAATCCCAGTATGGTTTTTCTAGGTATTGTAAAACAAAATTACATTTGAAAAATATTTTGGTGTTGTTTCCTGTATAATTGCATATATATAAAAGTATTTTCTTATGTTTCTTTTTTGTGCAAAAATAACCTACTTACAGTATTCTGACAATAACAATTTTAAATTCTTCCCACCAGGTAGATAATAATTTAACAATCATTTCACAATTTTGAAAACAACATTATTCCTAAAAAGGTCTGTGTAAATTCAATCAGTAGCCTGTGTATGTTTGTATATTATTTAATTCATCCCTGAAAGTTGTTCTATAGTTTGTTTCCTATATTTAGTATGTGAGAGGCCAAGGGAAGAAGGCGGAAATACTAAATTTACATACTCTGATCATATGGATCCAGACCTTTTATGATCTTGGGGCATGAGCACACTAATCCACTGAGTCCTTTCTATAATTCCCTTCTCATTTCAGAATTTAATAAACTCAACTAGGGGCTGTGTTGCATGTCCATTTTCCCCAGACATATTTTATCCATTAAGGCATTCTTGTCAATTTTCCCAGATGGGTCTGCACTGCATTTAGACAATGGGACTGTTCTGGCCAATTTTCTGAGGTTTTTGTACCTCCCTTTTTTGCGTAGGTGCACATTATTACTAAGATTGTAGTATTTTCTGTCTTTATATGTAGTTAAGTGTATGTTTTACAACCCACATAGACCTGCAATGACCTCCACATTGTACCCTCCATATGTACAAAGGTGGCATTAGAATGTTCCAATGGTTAATTGAAGCAACATTTGAATCAGGAACTATCTGACCCACAGCACACACTTTCAGAGACAACGCACTGCTTCACAATATTGCAATGGCTCTTATAAATAATGTTTTATATAATATTTTGTATTCTTTTTAAAATGCCAAATAGGATACTACAACTAATTTATTTCTAGTAGCGGTTTTTTTTTTATTAAGGAAACTTAAAAACATTTTCAGCATTTTTGTATGACTATAAGTTCCATGGAAATAGATACATTAAAATCCATTTTTAACCTGTTCCTTTGCTTTAATTTAAAAAGGGTAATATATTTTAATGATTTTAGTTATTTTATCTATAAATCTAGGCATAATTTTTCAAATGACTAAAATGTTTTAAGATTATGATTTAGTGTAAATGTTCCTTTTATCTGAAAATTGATGTGTATAATTATGACACATTTTATCCTCAAAATATTTACATTCCAATGCAGCTGTAGTAGACAAAGGTAATTATAGATGACAGTATGAAGAATGCTGTTACAAGCCTGTATAGGGACAGAATGGGAAGCCACATATAGAGTACCTTATGTTTATTAATTCTTACATAGCTAGGAATACTGTATTGTTGAACATCTTTGAATTCACTTGCAGATATGTATAACTAGCAACTAGTAACCTGCAAATCCTTGGATGGCAATGGCATGTTTTGCGAAATAGTTCATAAAATGACAGACTATTCATGGTTTATTTGGGATGCACATGCACTGCACTATAATCTCTTTTCAGATTATGACAGCTATTCATAGTCCTTCAAACTCATAGGATTAAGTTGTAATTTATTATATTTCTTAAAACATTTTAATGGACAGGTATGCCTACTGTGAAAGATAATCTGCAGCGACTTCTACATTTCCGATAACATTATATTTATTAATACCCAAGAATTGATAAGTAGTAATCTATAGACATCACATATTGAATGCATTCCTTTAAAATCTATTTTTATAAGAAAAGCATTTCTATTTGCAATGCTACTGTTTTTTAATGAATAAATGTCAATATCAAGCCAGCATGGAAGTTTCCAGAGATGCAACCTTAAAATTACAGTTAAAATGTTTGTTGAAATTTATCACATGAATGATTGTGGCTTTGTTGCAAAAGAAAAAAAAGCCCCTTCATTTTGTCATGTGTTGGGTATGTAATAATTTTACAGATTAACAGGTTCTTAAATTCACAATATTTAATTATGCTATTTAATTTCTTGTAATATGACATTTTATTAAGTGCTTATTTGTGACTATCCATTAAATAGCTGCAGTCCAAACACTTTTTAAGCTGTCTGTATTTAATTGGATGTTAGAATTTAAAGTAGAAAAATTATCATATGTTGTATATCCTTAATTGTAAGTAATTGATTGGCAATGCAAAGCTGCAGATTTTGACTAGGAAGCTGTATATCATAACGTGCAGAAAAGTGAATGCAGCATCCGGCTGGAAACAGATACAGCAATCTTTCTGAGTTGGAGACTCAGGGCTTCATTTATTCATAGCCACATCTGAAGCATTGCACAGCTTTCTATTTCCTTTTTTTAAAAAAATGTGTTGAAGCCAGTATTGATTCCTGATCACTGCCTGGGCAAGTCCCTGCAGTATTCTTCAGTAAGAGTTCAGAAGCAGCTTGCCATTGCTACCTACCTTGGGCTAAGAGAGCGCGAGAGCGAGAGCTGTGTTTTTCTTAAAAAATAAAATTCTTTTCAGCCAATCCTGTCATGGTTCTCAGTTAAAATGAATTTTAGGGATGTCTTTAAAGGAAGATGACAGATGCCCTATTGGTACAAATTCCTTTGCATAGATTGATATAAAATAAGCTATAAAATTGCATTTTTTGTGAACTGTTATGTCCAGTGATGTTAAAAGACCTCAAAACTTAATCATGAAGACAGTTTCATTCAGTCAAACAAATAAGTGGTGAAAAGGCTAACTAACCTGTAAGGTGTAGAGGTAATTCTTGACTTGTGACTGGTTGCATAGCAACCATTCAGAGTTCTGAAGGACAGCCCTGAGGGTATATATGACCTGGATTCAAAGTTCTGTCCTCTACTTCTTCCAAGGGTCATATGACCACACTCCAGCTTGCATTTATTACAGTGTCCTGTAATTATGTGATGGTTTCCCCAAAACCAGCATTTACTTACAATTTTCTGCAAAACTGGCCCTTGGCAGGCTTCATTACAGTTGTAACTGAATGACTGACTAAACCAGTGTAGGAAAGGCAAATAGATCCTTTGTCACAATGTCTCTCTCTCCTGGAAAACGTCCAGGATTTTGTTTCACATGTTGGCAATTAGGTTCCTCTGTTATGCTTGTAAACAGGAGATGGTGACATTCTCCTCTCTTGTTTTTACTTCTCCTACCACGGGTATTTGAAAATATCCAGAATAGTTATGAATTGGCCCAGGTGAATTTATCTTAGCTCCTTTGAAAGCAATACAAGTGACCATCATCCTTGTACCATGCATTATTTTATGTACCTCAGTCATATCCTTACCCGAAGTTCTGTGTCTTTTATCCAAAGTAAAAATGCTCAGACATTCTAAACCTTTCTCATCAAAATCTATGTTGTTTGTTGACCGTAACAATAAGGTAACAATGGTAACCTTTTAAGCTTATAGTCTGGTATATTCCCAAACTCTATCGGTTTATGTTTAAATCATGCATTTACTTGTAAGGGCAGAACATAGCCGAGAAGAAGCTAAAAAGCATGCATATGTTTATGTTGTTCAAAACTCCATTATTTTCTACACTAATTACATGTATCTAATGACAATAGCTTTGAAAAGGAACCTGTTTTTATACTACTTAGCAACACTTAAAATAATGGCCTCTTCCTTTCAAAATAACATTTAAAAAAAATTAAGCTTCATAAATGCCTGAAGTGTGACAAGAAAATATGCTTATCAAATAATAATAAAAAACTTTCAAAAGACTCATTTGATATTAATGCTTATTATTACTGTACTCAGAAATCCAAGAGGTCTGTGTCACTTTATGGTCTAATTCTGTGCAGAAATATAGGAAACAATCTTCAAAATACACCAGATTTTTGGGGGTAGCAGAGCACATATTTCAATAGATTGGAAACCCTACACCTGTGATGGCGAACCTATGGCATGCATGCCACAAGTGGCATGCAGAACCCTCTGAGGGTATGCGAACCATCGCCCAGGTCAGCTCCACCATGCGCTCATGCCTTCCACCGGCCAGCTGGTTTTCAGGTCTCTGCCGGGAGATGTGTGCAAATGTGCAGGGGCAGGGCATGGGGGCACGTGCACACATGCAAAGGGGAGTGGGATAAGCATGGGATGTGTGGCCCCTCGTACTCCATTTTTTATGCCAAGAGGCTTCAGTGAGGGCCTCAGGAGCCGGAGGGAGATTGTTTTTGCCCTTCCGGAGGCTCAAGGAAAGCCTACAGAATCTGGGGAGAGTGAAAAACGAGCTTCCCTGAAGTTCCAGAACTCCGGAGATGGGCCTGTTTCCAGCCTCCGGAGGGCCTCTGGAGCCCAGGACAGGTTGTTTTCACCCTCCCAGAGGGTCTAGGATAGCCTCGGAGCCTGGGGAGAGTGAAAATGCCCCTCCTGGCTTGGTGCAGGAGGCTGAGTAAGCTGCACGGGGGGGGGGGGGAGTTGTCACGTGCAGAAGCACCAGGGGGGTCAAGCGCAGCTGCACAGGTAGTGGGGTGCATTGCATTGTGGGTGTTGGCATGCACGGACAATAGTACGCTTCCAGCATGTGAGGACATAAAGGTTAGCAATCACTGCCCTAGGAGATCATAAATTGACATCATCTCTATATGCACAATCATGTTGCAAATTTGAATGTATACATCATTGTAATTATTGAATTTGATTTCTAAATATGTAAGGACATGAGAATTTGTTATATAAGTAACTAATGAAATGAAGTTTGAGAAGGACTGTTTTCATCTTTTCAACTTTTTTTCATATAACAGAGAAATGTAATGCCTTTTAAAAAGCAACCCTTTAAACAAATGTATTGGGTATACACGTTTAAATGTACTTTAAAAAAAGCGCTAATGGTTATTTGGCTACAGAAAATCACATTAAATCTTCAATGCTGAAATTATTTAATTATTTAAATTATGCTTAGTCTCCACAGCAGGAGGCAGCGATGTTTTCAAATTCTTCCATCATTCAGGATGGTTGCTTTCCTAATGAATTGTTTTTATGGTTAACAAAAGTTCAAAATTGTATTAAAAATAAGATTTCTAGATGTATGGATGAAAAAAAAGCCACCCAGGATATTAAAGAATTGTGAGAACTGAAATGCAATCTGCCCGAAGTGCACCAAACTGGAGAGCCTATAGATGCCTTCCTATTTTAAAATGAATGAAGACTCATTGATTTTACTGCTAAAGACACATGAAGAACTCTTTCTACCACAACAGAGAAAAATGACTAATTTTGCCATCTTGCAGCTAAACCTGATTTTTAAAAAACCAAAACAAAACAGAAGCTAATACTGAAGCTTAGCTCTCTTCTTTTAGATTGTAAATATAAGAAAGCAGGATGTGTTTGGGGGCAGGTGAAGCAGAGTAATTATTGTGTAAAAATGATTTCAAAGGTTTTGTCAGTTTAATGGTTGTTTGTAACCATTTAGTTCAGGGGTAGTCAACCTTTTTATACCTACCGCCCACTTTTCTATCTTGTTAGTAGTAAAATGTTCTAACCACCCACCGATTCCACAGTAATGGTGATTTATAAAGTAGGGAAATAATTTTATTTTATAAAATTTATAAAGCAGAGTTACAGCAAACTCCTATCGCCCACCATGAAAGCTATAATGCCTACTAGTGGGCAGTAGGGACCAGGTTGACTACCATTGATTTAGTTGGATCTGACTCTTGATGACTTTATAGGCAAATGCTCTCCAGACTACCCTATCAAGCACAGCTTCTTTTAACTGTTGAATAATTTTAATTGTTAAATGTTATCAAGCCAGTGTGCTTGCTTGCTCCTTCTTTGTCCACTAACCATTCCTAGTGTCACTGGCTTATCCAATGAATTTGCACACATACATGACCAAAGTAAATCAGATATAGTTTTATGATTATAACTTCCAATGATGTGTCTGGTTTTAAACAATTTAAAATTTGTTACTCTGGCTGTCCATAGTGTACACAGTAACTTACGCCAGCACTACAGTTCAAAGGTCAGTTTAAGTCCATGGTAGTCAACCTGGTCCCTACCGCCCACTAGTGGGCGTTCCAGCTTTCATGGTGGGCGGTAGGGGTTTGCTGTAACTCTGCTTTATAAATTTTATAAAGTAAAGTTACTTCCCTATTTTATAAATCATCATTACTGTGGAACCGGTGGGCGGTTAGAAAATTTTACTACTAACAGATACAAAAGTGGGCGGTAGGTATAAAAAGATTGACTACCCCTGGTTTAAGTAGTAACTGGCTTATCATTGCATTAAATGGTTCTTGGATTATAATTTTATAATCTTTGACCTATTTAGACATTTGGGATGGGTGCAAGATATAAATCTGGTAATAAATTTGAATGCACCTTTTTCCCCCTCAAAATTAACTAAAATATAGATCTACCTCTTACCACAGCCTTAGTAAACAAAAGTTATGCCATAGGATTTATATGTCATTTGCTAGGGCTGACAAAAAAAATCTGCTTCTTCTCAACCTGACCAAAAGTAATTTGCTTTAAAAAAATGTTTAAAGGAGACAAAAATCAGAAATTCTCATGACTAGAATGGTTTGTTTTCACACTTACTTAGCCAAGAGCTGCATACTAGGCAATTTGTAATAATTGTTCCAGGATCTGCTCTTTTTCTGGCTTCCTGGACTTCATTACATCCTACAGGATGAAATCATAAGGGAATCCCCTTCCATTGTATTTTTCCTGTAATTGTGCTGCTGTCATTTTTCTGCCCTTGGAAAATAGCTGGAGAATTTCTTCTTAATTACTTCTTCTTAAGCATTTCTTAATTACTTCTTTCTGAGTAATGACCCCAAATTTTCTCAAAGAATTTCAAAAAGGCACTTTTGTTTTAATTTTATTGATTGTCATATCATCTCAGGTGTCCCTTGGCATTATAAGAAGGAATAGGAAAACAGCTACCAGATGTTCAACCATTAGCTTTTATTACTGAGTCTGCAAACATTTTACCAGAGGGCCATCAATCTAGGACATACTTATTTCTATGCTCATCATGTGTGTTTTTTTGCTCATTACTGACTTCTTAGAATGTACCTAACTATCATAAGTGATCATAAAATAGTTCTAGGGATCAAAAGACAAAATCATTGTCCCTTATGTGTCACTCATATTGGCTGAATCAAGGAGATAATCTGGACCGTAACACTGAAGAATTATATGGGACCCAATTTACAAGAGGAACTCTCAAACTTTGGAATAAGGTCAAGAAGCCTTTTAAATATGGGATAAAAAGGGGAGAGAGGGGAAAAAATTGTAGGGATTCAAACAAAGCTTTAAATGACAGAAGTAATTTTTTTAAAAAGCACGGAAAGTCATGGATGGACAGCCACATAAATTGAAATGATAAACAGAAAGATGAACTGTCCCAGAGAGAGCAGAGGTAAGCCAATTGCTCAAATGACAATAAAAGAAACAAATATTCTTTTGGGGTCATGTGTACTTTATTGGCAGAGAAACAGTTCATAGAAACAAGATCTCAAAAGAGGGTAAAGTTGTGCCTTAGAAGCCAGAGAGTAAGCAAAACTTTTTTTTTGTATTGCCTTCCTTCAGAAATATACAATATGTGAAGACATGACGGGACAGCCAATTAATCTAATTCCCAAATCCTGTAAGTGCTGCTTCAAGATAATTTCATCCTGTAGTTATTGTTGCTCTGAAAGTTAAAAAAAAAGTTAAAGAATTTCCACACAAAGCAAAATGAGCATTAAAAAAAAACAGCTGAATATTAAAAGACACATTTGTTTTAAGAAAAACTGATTCACAGTCGGCTGTTATTAAAGTATTTGTTTAGTCTGCTCGTGAGTTAAAGATTGCCAAAGAAGTTTATAGGTTAATGAAAACAAGGTAATAATTGTTTTCTAGTTTGGAGTTGGAAAAGTCACAACATAAAAAGGAAAAAGAATGGAGAGGAAAGGGAGAA